ACTGTCAATACTGCTTTGCCTTTCCGGGCCCCCAAAAACCTTCCGGGCCCCAGGGCGATTGCCCTGGCTGCATTTTGTCATAAACGTATTTCTTGGTAAAGAATTGTTGCAATCATCAATTTTGAATAAATTAGCTTCAATATTTACTGATTTATCGAAGATTTTGTATTTCTCGAAATTACCGTTATATGGGATGTGGGCGTGGTTATTGTCCGATTTTAGAAATTTTCGGCCAGTTGGTATGCTGTACCAGGACCAACAACTGTGCCAAGTTTGATTAATTATTGACAGTAATTTAAATAGTAAATTTTAGAATTTGAAAGCTGAAAGCTTAATGCATATGCTTCCAACTAGTTTACTCAATATTTAAATGTTGTTAGTGAATTTTATCGTTGCGTTTTGGTTAAGTTGTATACAAATCTTGTTGCAGGAATTCAGTTTTAGAGGCTAGATGCTTTAAAGCTTGACCGCATAAAGCAGTGTTCGATTTTCAGTTTGGTTGTAGTTCGCTGTTCGCTCCTGGCTCATCTGGAATTGTGATTTGGGACGGGCTATATGTCACCAAGCATACCAATTAGCATTGGCGCACGGTTGATGAACCAAAAAGAAACTGAAAATTAGCTTACATTCTCAGTCTCCACTTCGAGAAGTTTTACAAATTAAGTTTTTTGTTGTCTTGATTTTTTTTTTTATTTATGGGATAACCAGAACTTGCAGTCCATGAATTTACTGTACCGGTTCCCGTTGACTTATTTTCATTAATACCGAATACCCGGTTGGGCTTGCGTACCCCTATACTAGGATCTTTATACCAACACAGACTTCCTCCCGACCAGAGGGTCAGACCGCATCTTTTACATGATTTTTTTTATCTATCGTTGAGAGTTTTAGTGAGTTGATGTGTAGTGGACACTTGGTTGATAAAGGCTAGCGGTTTTTTTTCAGAATTTTTGCGATTTGTATTCAATAAACTAAGTAAATCGGAATTCCACACAGTGAACGTTTTAATACATGGTCTGCGGGTATGTGCATACTAAGGACTATACATATGTAGATATGAATTGAAAATAAAATTTTCTTTGCCGGTTAAAGTACTCTTGCTGAAGTTGACACAGCTTTTATCTTATCAATTTTTTTCCTTTGAATAACAGTCCCCTGCTTTGTTGTTGAGACTTTTATACATACATAGTTGCTTAGTTTGTTTCAGTCACTAGTTGCTTACAGTTCTGGGGCTATCATTCATTCATTATTTTTTTCCTCAAACAAACATTTCTTGTTGCAACGTAACAATGCCACTTTCACAAAGTAAAGAGGATCGGGCTCAAGCAAATGGTTGCACAAGATGTCGTAACGAATTCTTCGAAGGTGACGATAACTTGAAGACCGCTTGCTCGCACCAGTTCCATCGAATATGTTTATTGGACTGGTTAAAGCACAGCTCCACATGTCCTCAGTGTAGAGCTAGATGTAACAGTAGAGGCCTTCCTCGCCCTGGTCCTCTAACTAGATCACAGGTTACATCTAAGACTACTAGCGATAACCCCCAGCCTTTAACAAATTTACAGAAGGATAACTCGGATATAGCAGGAGCCACCTGTTTGCCATTAGAAGCACCAGTTCGAGAACAGAACTCCAATGTAATACGAATAACATCGATGAAGAGGCCCGTCTACGAAATCTTGTTGGGGCAGTCATTTCGGCAAGGCAGGCAACAATGTTCGAGAATTTAGATACCCGTATACCGCAAATTGTTGAACAAAAAGTGGAGCAAACATTAGCAAATGCGTTG